CTTCATTGGCTGAGACATCAAGCAAGAGCCATTGGCTCCTGCTGCTGTCAATCACAGTCAATCAGCCAATGAGGAGAAAGGGGGTGGGCCAAGCCATGGCTCCATGTGTGAATGGACACACAGAGTAACAGGTGCCCCCATAGCAAGCTGCTTGTTATGGGGGCACCAAACAGAAAGGAGGAGCCAGGAGAGCCTGCGGGGGACCTGAGAAGAGGAGGATCAGACTGCTCTGTGCAAAACCACTGCACACAGCAGGTAAGTATAGATATGTTTGTTATTTTACAACAAAAACACATGATCCTTTAGTATCGCTTTAAGGGTTTGCTGATACTTAATAAAATCTACTCATCCATCAACCTGCGCAATCTTTTCTGTGCCATTGGCTACTGTACAGCATTGAAGCATAATAAATCAACCACGTGCTTAGTATTTGGCAAAGTTTTGTTGGCCTCAAATGTTTTGTTTCCAAAATATATCTTAGTTACTTCTTCCAACTGTTTTTTCCCATCAGACCAGAACACTTGGTTCCATACTGCCTCTGGCTTATCAAAGTGTGGTGTTATGTACTTCAGTTGACTTTTGTGTTGAGATCACAGGTAAGATTTTCTCCTGATGACTCTTCCATGTGAGTCTTCATGCACAGAGGACATTAAAAAAATCTCTCCTGGAACCCTTCCTCCTGGCAGCAGTATTTTTGCAGAAAAAAAACGCCTGGCACTTGTAAAAGTATCTAAATCTTCTACAAGCATTTTGGCACATTTACAGACGTCAACTGCTTGGGCATTAATTCATTTAATTAGCCAGAATAATTAATAATTTATTCTGACCAATGAAATTAATTAACGCTCAAATGCTAAATTGCCTAGCGTTAACATGCGTTTAGGTGCGTTTAGATGCATTTACATGCGTCAAGTGTTTTTTCTGCCAAAACGGTGCTGCTCCTGGACCCGAATTTTTTTTCCTGTCTGTAAACGCTCCTGCCACTAAAAGTTCCTAAAAGTATATGTATGCATGGACACAGGATAATATGGAGGGCCATTTATAAGCAGTAAAAATAAATGCCTGATGACCCTAAAAGTAGCTTCAAAAATGCCCTGTGTGCATGAGGCCTTAGGCTCCATGCACACTAGTGCTTTAAAAAAAAAAACAAGACACTGGGAAAAACGCTGGATAAAAAACATTGGTAATGGCAGTTTTTAGTAGTGTTTTAGGAGCATTTAGGAGCTTTAGCGATTTTTACAGTACATGTAGAGGGAAAAAAAGGCTAGAAAAAAGCTGGTAGGAGCATTTTAGTAGCGTTTAGAATTGTTTTCTGCTGGAAAAACGCTCCAAAAAACGCTACAAAAACAATTTTTTTTCTGCACCTAGACACTGAAGCTCAAAAAATGCTAAGAGTCCAAAGTAGTGAACATGGACACATACGATAACACTATTCAGCTTCTAGGAGCAGAAAGAAATATGCTGATAATAGCTTCTAGGAGCCTAAAAAAACACTAGTGAATCATATTTGTGCAATCAACAGAGAACAGTGGACCAACAGACCACTAGTCTTGTGGCAGCTAATTCCAAGACGTTTCCACACCTGGATAGTCTGAATTTATGCCTAATACAGATTTTTTTTTAGTCTTCCAGATCATGTACTCTTAAAGTGTTACTAAACCCAGGACCCTGCATCCACTATATCTGGTCTCCCACAGTACACACAACATGGAAATGCTCTTTTTTTAGTAAATATAAACTACTAAATACCTTTTCAGCAGTATATAGCAGTCCTGTGACTTCTATCAGTGTCCGGTGGAGCACTGGCTAAAGCTTAGGAATAGTTTTCATTCTCCATTGAGTGTCCTATGAGGCTGGATGACCCCTGACCCTCTGCCTGGACAGTGCTGATTGGCTTTGTGCGGGTCACATGTACCTGACCTGCCCCCCCAAAAAAACAAACCTCTCTAGCAATACACACCAAACTGAGCATGTGCAGAGTGCCTCCTAGGGCTCTGTACTATCAGCAGGTGGCTTGGGAAATGGAGAAGAAGGGGAGGATCAGAGAAGACAGGATCAAACAGACTTTTTACACTTTGCGAAGGATTAACCCCATAGGTTCCACAGTGAATATAACAAGCATGCTTTAGATTGTAAGCTCGAAAGAGCAGGGCCCTCGAACCCCTCGTGTATTGTTTTGTTACTGTATTGTCTCATGTTCTGTCCCCCACTATAATGTACAGTGCTGAGCAAACCTTTCTGGTGCTATATACAGTAAATACTGTATAATAATGATAATAATGCATATACAGACTGACTTTACTGTTGTGAGTTCTGTTACTTAATGACATTTTGCATACAGAAATTGTAATGAGGAAATGTTTAGGCATCTTTGTAAGAGTCATCCATTTTAATGTTAGATCCTCACTTATCAGCATAGTGATAGTTTTCAAGTATTAGAGCATGTAGGATGCTTTTGAATTATTTTCACTCAGATTGCAGCAAGGCCTTATGATTTGGTTAAAGTTCATCTCCTGACAAAACTTAATTCATTTTAAAACAAAAATTTGGGGTTTGGAAAGCAATAAAAACAAACACATACGAACCTATATTGAAGCATTCGGTGTGATGCTGCCACTGTGTCATTTCGGCTCTATACCCGAGAACTGAGCGATAACATGATCATTGATCGCTCAGTTCTCAGGCTGCTCAGAGCAGCCTGGTGCCTGGTATTCTAGTGCTAGAGGAGCAGAGCGGAGAGCAATGTTTGACAGTCACTGCTCTCCGCTCTGCTCCTCTAACACTGGAGCACCAGGCTGGGGAGGGAGCAGGTGAAGCTGGCTTGAGATCTCAGCCATGCGATGAGAGGTGGAGCCAGCTGTCAGTTAGGCAGTTGGATGAATCCAGACAATATTGTCTGGACCTGGGATCCTTTAGAGCCTGGAGTGGCTCTGCTGCGTCAGTTGATAGCAAGCAGTAGACCACTATCACTTGATACTGGGTCACAGGAGAGCACTCCTGTGACCCACAAGAGAAGTAAGGCCAAAAAAGCTTTGGCCATACTTCTCTTTTAAATAAAGCATGGCATCTTCAGAGGCTCTGCCAGGTTTTTATTCCTATCTGTTTTCCTATTGGGGAGATTTCCCTACACTTTCTTTCAGAACAGGACATTAAGGTGTCCTTTTATGACACAGAGAATAGCTGCGATTCAGAGGATCGCAGCTATTCTCTGGTCATTCACAATTTATGACACCCAGAAGAACATGTTCAGCCCTTCACTGGAGATCTGTGTTCTCCCTCCAGATTCTCCAGCCCAGAACTGGAGAATCAGAGGGACCGCAAACTAAGCAGAGATAATTTACCTCTGTTTAGTAAACTGATCTTTTACTGTAATCTCGTGAGATTATAGCAAAATCAGCCGTTTTCCAGCGTTTGTAGACCATTCTCCCTTCGTTTGGAGAACTGATCTACATATGCTTCATAAACGGCATTCACAGGAAAACTGTGTTCTCCAAGAATGCCGGAGAACTGAGCAGCGATCTATTACTGCTGGTTCATAAACGGACACCTTAATGATAAATCACTTTGAAGGGACATAGAGATAAGCATATTTTAGTAAAGTAGAGATGTGTTAAACCATCTAGACTTTTTTATTGCAATCTGCACCTTCCTTGTACTTTGGCAACTTCTTATTTATTGTATGGATATTACAGGAAGGGGGGGGGGGGGGGGGTCACAAACAGAAATTAAAGTCACCCTGTCACCAATTAAAATTCTAGTTCTCATTGATTCCTTCCTCCTTCTGACATCCATGTCATTGTTTTATTTAATAATGGGTGAAGATCACAGGCAGAATCCAGTAAGACCCATCAGATCGACACTACAGGAAATGTCAGTTTTTTTTAGCAAAGTTCAGGGGATGAATCCACAGCAACAAAGGAAAGTTTGGTAGCACAGGTGACAGGACAGGTAAGCATTAGATTTCTTCTTTATAGGTACATGTTAGATATTGGTGGCAGGGATGCTTTAAAACCTTGAAAAAATGTTAAAATTGACCCACTCTGCCATTCCATTACACTGTAATGATCTGGAGTAAGCCTTTACGTTCTAGGATTTTACAAGAAAAAAAGAAAATAACAATAGTGGTATATACACACAGTGTATTTCACACATAGAGGTGCATGCAAAACCTGACATGTGACACACAAGAGGGATAAACACCGCAAAATGAAAGGATTGTGCACTGTGCATTGTGAACTGTGGAGATTCGTACTCTCTGTAAAGTATTGATTCTTGTTCCTTGAATCAAAGGACCCATCACTAAATGCTTTATGTCATGTGTGACTTAAATACTATGGCATATTCATGTGACTGAGGCAGATTACGTGACAATATCCGACAATATATATTTTTCAGTAATTTTTTTAAACTGTAACTGGCTACAACTACCCAGTACATTCCTGGCATCTGTCATTCAGAGCATTTTTATTAAAAATAGTTCTTTCCAGCTGCAAGAGGGAAGTTGCTACAGGAACATTGAAAAACACTATGAAAACAATTTGCATGTACAGTATAGACTGGGTAAATGTTACAACACTGACTCAATTTTAAACATGAAATGAACTGTATATAGTTTCATAGCATATGCATGCTTATGTAGTCCATATGGTCACCACCTTTGTCTGCAGTGAACACAGAATTCCAATTAGTTAAGAAGAGGGACTTCATGATGTTTGTATATTTACTGGAAGAAATAATATGATGTAGGTGCTACAGAATTGGTGGGCTCTTGGGGTTTAGGATTAGACAGCACCCTGACCACTAGACAGAGATGAAGCAGGGAGGGTTAAAGGGTATGTTAGGGCAAAATAAGAAAAACATACTTAATTCAGTACACCCTCAATACTTCCCTATGTTTTAGCCCCTTCACTGTATGTACAGAAAATATTTTTTAGTCCAAAAAAAAACTGATCAGTTTAGGCTCGTACTTGCTTGTTTGGGCTGACAACACAGTGCTTATTCTGATCTGAAACTCAAAGCAGTATTGTCAGTCCTTAGGCTAGGTTCACATATGTGCGGGTGGTGCGGCTGCAGATGCACACGAAAATCCATGCACGCGCGCAGAGGAATGCGGACCCGCGGGAGGGTGCCATTAGTTCTAATGGCATGCCGCCCGCACTGGAAAACGCAACCGTACTGGGAACCGAGGTTCCTGCGTGGGCTGCATTTTCAGAAGCAGTGCAGGGACTTCTTCCTTGCGTGTCACGGGGCACAGGAGTCCATTCAAATGAATGGGCTCTCATGCCCGCGCAAAACGCAGCCCGCACGGTCACATATATGTGAACCAGGGGTTACTGCTGAACTGCGCCTACCTTCTCTTCACCCCTCTCTGTCCATCTCCACAAGCATACATTGATTTCTTTCCAGCAAAAAATTCTGCTGCCTTGATTTCTAAAGCCTAGTACACATGGGATGAATGTCAGGCGGCATCAGCTGGTTCAATAGAAACTGGCCGACATTTGGCCCGTGAGTACAGCAGCCAGTCCGACAGAAGTTCTTCTGGCTTCTGTAGAAGGGGCATAACCAAAAATGGTCTGCTGATCACCTCCCCAATGGCTGAGGGCACTGGCCAGAGTGTTCTGGTGGAGGCCACCCTTCTCCAGCCAGAACACAATAGAACAGCAGGGGCGATCACTGTACTAAAAGTGTGTAGTTAGTACAGCGGCTCCCCCTAAGCTGTCAGGTTTTTTTTTTTTTTTTCGTTCAGCTCCCTGAGTTGAACAAAAAAAAAAAAAAAAAATCCTAGTAGTGTGTACCAGGCTTAATAGTTGTGTTCATAATAATCAATAAATAAAATAAAAAATGTTTTTGGTTATAATTATTACCTCTCCCTAATTAGGGAGCCCAAAAATGGGTTGCTATGGTCATCACTGCTTGATAGTTGTGTTCAGCCAACTCCTGTCTATTATGTAAAAGTGTTCTGAGTGGCTGTAGAGCCACGCTGGTACTTTATGGTACTGTGAAGTGCTGCAACTCCCCTCCACACCATCCACGGTGTCCCTATGGCAAGCAGGCGCAGATGTTCCCTGACCTTCTCTGCTATGAGTGAATCCAGAAGAGCTCAGCTCTGAGCATTTCTGGGTTCAGAGCAGTCAGAATCCTAAATGAAATGCTAGGTAAATAGCCAATCAATCACAGTCGGGTGCAGAGGAGACATTAAGGGGTTTATTTACTAAAGCTGGAGAGTGCAAAATCAGACTCACTTCTGCATAGAACCCAATCAGCTTCCAGGTTTCATTGCCAAAGCTTCATTGAACAAGCTGAGGTTAGAAGCTGATTGGTTTCTATGCAGAAGGGAGTCTGATTTTGGACTCTCCAGCTTTAGTAAATAAACCCCTAAGGGTCTAATAGGAGACATTAGAAGTCTCCAAAAAGAGAACCTGTCACCTGCAAATGCAGCTTTTTACCCCCTTGCAATAGCAGTAACGTTAAATGAAAAACAAAAAAAATGAATTATAATAAAATAAAATTGTGCCACGTGTGTTAGGTATCAATGTGAACAGCGTAGTGAGAGCAATAAATCTGTGTTCATAGTTATAGACACTTTTGGGTACTGTAGTGATTTTCCATGTAACAAGCACACACATTATTATTATATTTTTTCCTGAAAATCTGTGTGAAAATCTGTGTTTAATAAACAGTTGCGCAAATATTACGTAACATAAAATGTGCAAATTTCACCTTTTTACGCTACAGGGCCACTGCTTTCAGAAAATATATAATGTTCTGGGGGTTTATTTTTATTGCCAAAAATTGAGATTTTCACGTTTTGTGAAAAATAACTGGTTAATGCTGCTGTGCTCAGGCAGCATTATTAGCCCTGTTTTACCACCTCGTGGTGGTCGAACAGCTGATTTGCAGCATGACTTTAACCCTAGGTTCACACCTAAGCATTTTCTGCAGCATTTTGCGTTTTGCAGAATTGCAGTACAGTCCATTTAGCATGATTTCCTATGGGATATGTTCACACCTGTGAGTTTTCACCCGGTGTGTTTTTTGGAAAGGGTCAGGGACTTTTTTGAATCCAAAAAGTTGCGTTTTTTGTTTCAATAGACCTTAATGCAAACGCTTCAGAAAAGCATGTATTGCATTTTTGCTGGTTTTTTTTTAATGTATTTTGCATTTTAAATCTGCCTAGCAACAAGAAAAAGAGAGAAAAAAATGCAAAACGCGTCAACAACGCATGAGCAAAAACACAACGCAAACCGCAATACAGAAACATCGCATACGCAGCCTGCATAGCTGTGAACCTAGCCTTAGAGGTGACAGGACACCTTAACACTGCTGAGCGCAAGAATCCTGTCACACTCACCATTCTCATAACCTAAGATTTCTGGAACTCCGTGTCCACCAGCCAATGAGGTGTGACGTTGCATCCACGCACGTCACCCCTCCTATCCATTGTATGAGGATCTCAATCTGGGAAGGCCTGCTGCATAGCTGGCGGATGGACATACGGACGGGCGTGAGTGAGGCCCCATGTCTAAGCTTTGCCTAAGGCCTCACAAAGCCTATATTTTTTCCAACTTTGCAATTAGGACAGAACAGTCCATTCCCCTAACTAATTCTGACTTATTTTTCTATAGTTTCTGTCTTTCTATTTTAATGCCAGAACCGTGTAGAACTTGTTGTACTCATAGCTTTGCCATCAGTGTGATAATGGTGTGGATGTACATCATAGTGGGATAAAAGGATAACGTCTTTTATGGCTGCTAGCATCAGTGAGATGAGGAAGGTGTGGGATTCTTTCACATAGAAATGATGTGACCTTTTTTCTGGGAGTATATTGTTTAGGAACACTGATTTCTCTGTCTAGGAACATACTGCAGTCAAATCTTCATTTTCAAAGTACTTTCAGCTTTGTCCCAAGTATGCATTGCTTAGTCTCCTAGTTCCATGGAGGTACTGTGTACAATGGTACATTCTTGCTATATTGTGAAAAAAACCATACATAATATTGATAAATATACAAAAATATAATAATTTAGTCCATATATAAAAAGTATAAAAAAAGAATAAACAGAGAAAGATAGATAGATTTGGCATGAGGACAAGGCCTTCAATTGTTGCTGAGATACATGCTGGCAGCTTTGAGGTCCTAAGGAGCTGCCTGGTTGTAGGTGGCCTGGTAGCACAACTAACGTATCTCTCTTTCTACTTGTGATATTCACATACCCCAGGTACCGGTTCCAGGATATTGCATTACCTTTCCTCAAACCAACTACACAGTACAAAGGATGTTTTACACAGCTCCTCCAATCACTAACAAAGACTTGGTAGGGCCCTTGGCGCCCAGAGTAGAGTCTTTCACACTTTCCATAAACCAAGCTAGGAGAGGAACTGTCAACACTCTTACCTTCCCATGGATGGTCACGAGCAGGGGCGGACTGACCATTTGGAAACTCGGGCACTGCCCGAGGGCCTGGGGTCAGTAGGGGGCCCCATGAGCTGCCCCTGGTACCTTTTTATAGGCTTTTTTGAGTTTGGGCAAGGACACAGGGGCCCCATTATCCCCTATTGCCCGAGGGCCCCATGAGTTGTCAGTCCGCCCCTGGTCATGAGACACTGGCTTCTGCAGTCCTTGGTAACAAGTCTGGTCTGCTAAATACACCATTGAAAGTTGTTTGCAGTATCTGTTTTAGAAGTGTAAAAATATCTATCGAATTGCCAGAAAGCTGATAACTTCCTATGCTCTCTGCCTGTGCACAAGTAAGGGTTATGGAGACATCTGTGTTTGTATTGAATTAGAAATGAAATAGACAGGGCTGACAACACCTTGGAATTCAGAGCCAAAAAAAAAAACTCTGTTGTCGTGTCAGAGAGGAAGGTAGGAACACACTATATTTCTGGTACATCATTAGTCATTACTCTGTATTTGCATGATGCATAATGCATGATAAAACATAGGGAAATGTACATGTATTACAGATATGTCTTTTTTCTTTAATTTTGCCCTGGCATACGTAAAAAGGTCTGCCTTATAGATTTGGATAGGCCAAAGGTTAGGGTCACTTGTGGTGCCAAAATCGCTGAAAAGAAACATGGTGCAAAAAAGATTAATCCCTGAGCAAGAGGTAAGGAGAAGCAAGATTGTTGAGTTAAAGTAAATGGGAAATACCCTTTTGTCCTTGGAGGAGATCAGCTTTGTTGCATAAGGAAAGTCTGAATTTCCAACAGTTCAAGTAGTCGGTGCTTCTATTTTCACATTGGTCAATGAAAGATTTGAAAAGTATGTGGAAATAGAATGGCTTTATAAGCACTGATTTCTAGGTCACTTTTCAGAAAATCAAGATCGTTGAGGGAACAGAATAAATAATGAAATAAATGTTTGATTTCTGAAATGTATGGTGAAAACACAGGGTAAAAATGACTGATTAATGTTATACTGCCTTTTAAACAATGTAATGCTTTAATGCAAAGTTAAAATTTTGTGAAATTGTAGTAATTGCAAAATACTACAAAGATTTAGCAACAGGAAACAGAAGCAGAAGTAGAGTAAATACGAACAATGACTTGAATTCTAGGGTACTTGTCTAGAGTTTCTCACAGTATATAAGAAATTAGTGGGAGGTGTATGTTCTTTAATTACTAATGTTTCTACTGCAGAGGACATATGCACTGTGCTGATTTCAGTGTTCAAAATGACGTGTTTTTGTACGTTGCACACTATAATGTTCATAATGGCTCCAAAGTAAGTATCAAGGTTTTGTTTTATAATATAGAGGAATATTTGAAATGGATAATACACATAGATCAATTCTTTAGTGGTGGGTGAGGGTTGTGGGTGGAGCACAGACATCATAACTCTACAAGGTCCACTTCACCTGTAGCAGACACGAAGAAGGTCAAAAGACTGCCAAGGGCCAGAAGCCGGATAGACTACATTACCAGGGATGAGATGATAGCAATGGGCAAAGATCAAGAACCAGAATGGCAGTCTTGTAGAGGAAGACAGCAAACCATAGAGCAGAGATGAAGTTAAAGGTAGCAAAAGGACAAGGCTTGTGGCAAGGTCAAGTTCAGACAGAACAGACAAGTCAACAACAGAAATAGCACCCATGAAGTTACCTAAGAGATCTCTACAATAGGCAGTGTGCAAAGGACCCTTAGAAAGCTACAACAGCCAATCAGTGGGCCACATTTACAGTAGGTATCAGAACACAGTCATGTGCAGTAACATGCAAACCTAAAAAAAAAAAAACCACACTGTTGGGGCAAGGATATGTTGGGCATTCTTTGCAAAGTAAGTTTTCAAACCAATCACTTTGCAAAAAAATAAATTTTTTTAGCAAAGTTAAAAAATGGAAGAAAAATATATTTGAAATATATTTTAAAAAATATTCTCCCCAAATATATTGACATATATTTGAAATGCTACAATTTTGGCCATATTCAATATATTTCAATAAATATATATATATATATACACATACACACACTGTATATACCATATGTTGAAATACATTTTTATTACAAAATATATGAAAAATATCTTTTTAAATTTTTTTTTAAATATACTGTATGTCTTTAAAAATACAAATCTACATTTTTGGAATGCATTTACAAATATCTGTAAAATATGTTAAAATGACTTCTTTATATGTTAAAAAAAATCCAAAGAATATATTTTAAAAACATTTTTTAAAATATTTTTCATATATTTTGTAATGTATACAAAACGCATTTCAACATGCAGGATTTATTGAAATATCTTTTGAAATATATTGAATTAGGCCAAAATTGTAGTATTTCAAATATATCAATATATATTTAGGAAGAATATTTTTAAAATATATTTCAAATATATTTTTTTTACATATGGGTATGCCTTTAGAAAATCATCCCTAAATTGTGCATAAACCCAAAGTGAAAATAGCTCCCTTGTGCTTGTAAATGTAGATGTGCACTTTTTAATAAATTTGTACAAGCAAATGTTTAAATCTAGATGGCACAGTGGTTAGCACGTCTGCCTGGCAGTAAATGGGTCATGGTTCGATTCCTGACCATGGCGCCTCCTGCATGGAGTTTGCATGTTCTCCCTGTGCTTGCGTGGGTTTGCTCCGGTTTCCTCCCACCCTCCAAAGACATGCTGGTAGGTTAATTGGATCCTGTCTAAATTTGCCCTAATATGTGTATGTATGAATTTAAGTTAGGGACCTTAGATTGTATACCCTTTGAGGGTTAGGGACTGATGTGAATGTTCAATATATATGTGTAAAGTGCTGCATAAATTGACAGCGCTATATAAGAACCTAAAATAAATAAATGATAAGTTCACCTTTCATTATATTTTACACTGATATTCAGGGAGTAAAATGTTACAAAAAGACTGCCCCCCCCCCCCCCCCCCCCCGGTTGTGACAGCTAGTGAGGGAAACCTCTCCCCCCACTAGCTGTCACCCATTCACAGTATTCTGTGAATGGGAAAGCTACAAGTTCTGACAGCCTTTGCGGATGTCGGCTTATAGTTCTCAATTAACTACTATGGTGCTGTTGAGCACTGTGGTAGTTCATTGATTCTTCCTGCCAGTGTGTATGTGCTTGCCATTACGAGCTCACAGATACACTGACAGGTCTGCAGAAGTTTTGCATGGCACCAGCAATATGCTGATCACTGGCGCAATCCTTTCCAGGCTCCCAAAACAAGAAATAGTAAATGTACATTTTTAAACCTGCAGAAAAATGTGCATTTATTATTTTTTATCAAAAAGTGAACTTATTCTTTAAAAGAGAAATTTTGGGTTTCAAAAAATATAAACATACATACTTATCTAGGTGGATGCAACATTGGTCCGACCCTGCATCTGCCCCCCATCACCTCTAAGACTGCTGATCACTCAATTCTCGGTCATCACTCTGCAGGGAGCTGGTAATTGTCTCGGTCTTCACTCTGCAGAGAGCTGGTAATTACCAGTCACTAGTTCTGGTGACCTGGGGGCCCCAATGGATTCCCTTAATTTGCAGAGATATCCTCTCACTTTGCTGTATTGGCTATGGGACAGGAAGTAAAGTTAAAAGTTTAATCTCCCCAATGGGACAAAGATGGCAAAAAAAAAAAAAGTAATAAAAAAAAATAATTCATATACAGTGTGTATATATATATATATATATATATATATATATATATATATATTAGTGTGTATTCCTTACTTCCTGCTTTAGTGATGTCACTGCCAACCTCATGCATCCTCAATTTTCCCACATACCCGGTCTGTGGGGACAGAATTACTAACCTAGCTGCCACATGAATGATGACAAATGAAAGAGATAAGGGTAATTAATTGTTTTTTTTCCTTGCAAATTCTGCAGAAGTTTGAAGCGGATGTTGGGGGAAATTTACTAAAACTAGAGCATGAAAACTTGGGTGCAGGTCCGCATAGAAACCAAGGTTCCAGCTTTGGCTTCCAGGTTTTATTGTCAAAGCTTTATTTTTACAAACTGAACTTATAAGGTGATTGGCTACCATGCAAAACTACGCCAGATTCTGAGTGCTCCAGTTTTAGTAAATCCCATCCAAAGTCTGCTTATTTTTACGATAACTTTTTTTGTGCAAGATTTCCATCAATCCTCTGTAGGTTTCGTAATGAAAAAAAAAAATTAAACCAATTTTTCCCCAAATCCCTTTGGGGGAAAAAAAAGTTGGCAGATATGTTTACCATACTCCATCATCTGCCGAGAGTGCCTATGCGAGGGTGACGTACACCAAGTACCATGCAATGACACAGTGCTTGAATATCTTCTTGTGAGATTTGGAGAACCTAGCATTTTTTCAGGATCTAGCCGGAAGGCTGGTGACATTGCTCTGCAGTATGGAAGTCAGGGTAAAGTTTGCATATTAAATTATTTTTTCTCCACTGTTTGTTTTTTTTTTGCCTAGAGCATTTTGGCATGGGGAGGGAGGCCTGAATAAATATATGGATTGTGCTACTCCTTTAAATGATATACAGTAGATATAAAAAGTCTACACCCTCCTGTTAAAATGTCAGATTTCTGTGATGTAAAAAAATTATGAAATCAAATTTTGATATAGTGACTGTTCAAAATGAGTGAAGAAAGTCCTCGTGTATCCAATATAGTGATTTTTCAGCCTCCACCGTGCAATACAAGCCTCTTACCAGATAAATATGATGACCAATTCATCTAAGGTCATAAATGCTTTTCTAACACATAGGTCATCATCATCTAAGTGGTAATGGGCATTCTCTGTAGTGATCTCCAAAGGCTCATACTGTATATCTCTCAGTGAATATGCCAAAACATTGACCATATAGGTGGAAGAAAAGGACTTCACAGAGTACAAATCAGCAGAATAACCCACATGGAATAAAAATATATTTTAATAAAAATTTTCTTCCCAAATATTTTGCCATATATTTGAAATACTACAATTTTGGCCATATTCAAT